AACCTTTTTTTATGGCCTTAAGTTTGATACAACTCACTTTAGGAGTTTTTAAGGACCCGCGGGAGATCTGTATTTAAGATAGCCCATCGGGCAGAGTGGTGATAAATTTTGGTAGCCCGACTCGAAAACACAATAGCCCCAGGACGTCGGGCTAGCGATTTTGCGAGCCCTGAAGTACAAGTTTGACTCATCTCTTTTCTTAAAAATGGTTTAAAGTAGGGATGCACCGAAATGAAAATCTTGGCCGAAGCCGAAACCGAACAAAATTAAACACTGGGCCGAAGGCCGAATACCGAACACGGTTTTTCGAGTTTGTTCCCGCAATGAGAACATGACTCATCCACGAGCGCTGCTTCAGCGTGCTGAAAGCCCAAGCACGAGATACAGCGATCGTGACCATCAGATGAAGCCAGGAAACGACCACATCCAGAAACGCACGAGCGGGAAGCCATCTTTAAAAAGACGCACGTCGCTCGTGGAGCTCTTTTAGATTTGCTCTTTTTTTTTTTTTTTTTTTTGGAAAAACACTCTTTTAGAGAGAGCGCTGAAGCGCCCAGGGGAGGTCGCGGCGAGACCGCAGAATGGGAAGCTGCAGCACGCCGAAGAGAAGCAGCACTGGATGGCAACCCCCGCTGACGCGACGTAACACCAACGCCAGAGGCTGTCTCGTAGACACTCGTGGAGATTCAGTCTTGCTAGAAGGCTCGGCTCTGAAGCGAAAAGCTGATGTGCGTTTGCACGCGCTCTCCTTTTATACCCGTGCTGCGGGGCGGGGTGCGCATGTCGAAACACGCACGCCAACTGTAATTGGCTTGGTTAGTTAACACTCGAAGGTGTGATAGAGTTCTTGCTTTTTCCTCAACTTTTATTTTGGCAGAAACGCACAGGAAGACCTCAATGCTTCTTTTTGTTGACAACAGATTTATAAACAAGTCTCATTACGAATATGTCGTATGTATCGCATTGTCACATGCCTTGTAAAAATTCATAACAATGTGACTGAGCAACTGACAAGTAACACTGTTTAGCGCAGATTTTCCTCGCGCTTTGAACTTTGAACCCTGGTTAACAAGCAGATAGCGCGCGAGTTCGTGCAGCGCTGTCAGAATACATAGCAGATTTTCCTCGCGCTTTGGACTTTGAACCCTGGTTAACAATGCGCGTGTGTATTAGAAAACATAACATTCTGCAGTTTATTTACTAATTGTTTAAGGCCATTTCGGGATTTCAATCATCATACAGTAACCAGCAACAATCACCCCAACCTCTTCCACACTGCTGACATGTGTGCTGCATTATAAAGAGTGCGCCTCTCACTCTTCGCTGGTTGCTATTTGATCGCATCATATCATTGTTCGCTACGATTTTTTTGGTCTTTTCACTTATTCAGCCGAACACCGAAAGAGCTTTTTTTGCTATTTTCGGCCGAATAATTTTGGTTGCCGAACATTCGGTGCATCCCTAGTTTAAAGGGTGAAATGTGATGTTTATCATTTTACAAGCTTTTTTTTTTTTTTCGTGAAAAACTGTATCCAAAATCTGACAAGTGCCTGCCCCAAGGGCTACCAGGGATTTTTATTTTTTTTTGCAAGCCCTGATATGTATAGTTGTATAAAAATTATAATTTATATTGACATGTACATAACTATATAACTTTTAGATTTTTGATTTCCATTGAGCCACAGTCTGACCTGCTTACATTCTTCTTGGCACATTCAGTTTTGGATTTCACCACATATTGCATGTTGTAGCATGTGGCAACTTCTACAGCCACGTCTTCATGTTTACAGAGTGATGCCTATCTCACACACATGCGGAAGAAAGGAAAGAATACAGTTTCCTGTCACTTCTATTTTGAGTCTTGCTGAAAGAACAGCAGCTCAACAAACAATGCGTTGATTTAATTCAGTGCCCACTGGCTGCCATTTGCCCTTCCTAACGCCCACTAGAATTAGCTGTTTAGCCTCCTCTGTGCACAGTAAATCTGATATCAGAGATATCGTAGGACAGATGTTATTTTTACAGATGGGTGGATGGCTGCTGTGTAAAGGTTTTCTGTCAAGGATCATACCTCACACTGAGCTGAATTTTTATCTAACTATCCATCCATCCATCCATCCATCCATCGAGCAGATGCCACCAATTATCAGACCACAATCAAAATCCAGGCCCAAAGTTTTATATAGCAAATAAACTAAGCCATCAATGTATCTTACTTACAAGACACACTGAATGTCACACAGAGATGCATGTTTAGAGTCAAAAATTTAGAGACTTAGTCCTGTCCTGACCTGCCCTAGAGCACGGTGTTTATCGTTCACATTTATCTCTTGTCATTCTTAGTAGGGATGCTCCGATCCGCCTTTTTTGCCTCCGATACCGATTCCGATACCTAGGGTTCGGTACAATCGAAGAAGAAAAAAAAATTATCTCGGATTTGGATCGGCTCTCTCTGACCGATACCCGATCCGAGAAAAATGGCACTATCGGAGCCGATACCCGATATGAATATCGGATCGGCGCATCCCTAATTCTTAGTCCACTCTGTCCCGGGTCATGTAGTCAGCAGGTCCACTCTGCCAGACTCGCATGATTGAGCTTTGTTGTATAGTAATCCACATTCACTCCGTCTCCAACCTGCACAGAAGAGTTGACCAGGTGTTTTTAGTTTGGACTGGGCAAGAGGGTGGAGTAAGCAGCTTAATGGGTAGCTTTGTGGACATAAATGAAATATAGGTCATACACAACCAGTATTAGACTAATCCACACATCTTGAATACTCCTTTTGCGTAAACCACATCATTTCTGATCATTCTGTCAGCTTTAATAGTCTTTTTATTCAGGTCATTTTATTCATGTCCCAGACTGTTACAAGCCTGAATGATTGAATGGAATCAATTGGAATGACTTTACAACTGGATTACAAGGATAAAAGATTGTAAATCTATGACAAATGTGGCAAGCAAATTTAGAAACCGACATAGTAAGCAGGAGAAGAAGCGATAGGTCATTTGGTGCCAGCTCATTTCACACGGACGGGCCCAGCTGTCGATGTTGACGACACTGCAGTGCTGGATACCACTCATACTGTTCATCCTAAAATATCCCAGCACTCTGTCCCACGGACCCCAGTGAGAGTTTACTTATATTGGGATCATCCTTTGGGAATCCACGGACTGAAATCTGCTCCCTCTGATTCAAAAATCCACTCCCAGCCTCATGTTCCACGCAAAGTACCACCTCTTTTTTTCATTGGGTTTTCCAGATTGAAGGGAAATTTGTGATATCTACTAGCAACACCTGCTCCTTCAGGATGATCTTGGCAACATAAGAGTCCTGCAGGATGTTTGCAGAGCATAACTTTCATGACCAACTCATATCTATGAATGGGTGGTATTGTTAAGCTTTTCTTTGGGAATGCTTTTCTGTGCTCCTGAATTAGAGGGCAGTGTCTTCCAAATATGTCCAGTAAGATACAATAAAAGGATTGTGTTTGTCTTCAATGTTTAAGGTCACGTCACGGCTTGGTTATCATACATTAACATTCAGAAGTTTAGGGTTGATACTTTTTTTGTGTTTTTGTAAGAAGTCTCTTAGGTTCACCAAGGCTGCATTTATTTGATGACAAATACAGTAATATTCTTACAATTTAAAATAACTGTTTTGATATATTTTAAAAGGTTATTATTCTTGTAATGGCTGAATTTTCAACAGTCCAATCCAATCTTCACTGATCCTTCAGAAATAATTTTATATGCTGATTTGCTGCTAACATTTCTTATTATTATCAAAGTTGAAAACAGTTATGTTGCTTAATATTTTGTGGAAATATTAGTATCCATTAATGAATAGATTTAAAAAAAGAAAAGCATTTATATAAAAAAATAAATATTTTGTGTGTTCTTGCCGTCACTTTTGATCATTGTGTCCTTGCTGAATAAAATTATTAATTTAATAAATAAACAAACAAACTGACCCCAAAACCTTTGAACGGCAGTTTAGGTTAATGTGTGACTGTGGCACACTTTTCTGAATGAAAATAATGGAAACACTGAAACATCCACAAATAAGGCAATTCCTCATTTGCTTTTTCATTTAAAAGTTTTAACTCTCTGATTTGTCTCTGATTTGCAGAGCTTTCATTGGCCCAGAAGAAGTTTGCTCAGTGCCTGGGTGAGTTCAAATTTGAGTACATCGGCGATGCCAAAACTGACGATGAGAAGTGCATTGGTGAGTTTTTTTATTTTATTTTTTATTTTTTGCATATTTTCATTTGCGCACATGCATACATTTGCCTTTATTTTAATACTTGGCTACTAGTGTGATGTGGGTGAGATTTGTGCGTATGAACCGTTAGTGATTCATCTGTTTGTTTCAGACGGGTGGCTCACATGCTGAGAAATATGTAAATAGTCGTGCATAGATAAACTTTGCTCATTGTCTGCATGTGTGCCATTTCAGATGAATCATTGCAAGAATTCTCCTCCTTTCTTAGAAACTTGGAAGACCAAAGAGATCTGATGGTGAGCACAACCAGTTGAGACTTGCATTGAAAACACACTCTGTTATACATTTCAATCAAATCCTTGCTGGCTTAAAAAAATAAACAAACAAACAAATAAATAAATAGCCGGTTTAAACATTTAAGAGCCAGTCTCAGCCAGAGGACGTGAGCTCGCGCGCGCATTGAGAAGATTTGTGCGTGCGTTCATCCAAAGCGCACAAACCCGCGCCTCAGAATGCGCGCAAATATTATTCTCTCACTGTAGTATTGTATTTAAATGGACAAATTCACACAAAAATTATGTCAAAACATCATTTGCGCGCGCGCTCTCTCTCTCTCTCTTGCTCTCTCTCTCTCTCTCTCCCTACCGTTAAGTAACTTGTGCAACAAGATACCAGTATCGGTATCGGTGCATCCCTAATATATATGCATATGTATATGTATATGTATATGTATATGTAGTGTTGTCACGGTACCAAAATTTCAGTATTCGGTACCAATACCAGTGAAAAGTATATGTGTTTTTTTAATCATGGTCATTTGCATGCAGAGAAAAACACAAACACAAAAATCAGCCTTAACATTGAGTTCAACACATACTTTATAAAGTGACATCAGTCATCTGTTCGTCCCTGAATGCTTCAGCACTGTTTGAGTCACAGCCACAGGAAGTGAGTTACATTGCCATCAGTTATTTGTGTCCTCTGTCTCAATTACTCTGTGATTACACAAGACGACTGCTTATGTTGAGTCATGTCACCTTAAATGAGTTGTTTAGGAACTGTACTTTCAAACCCTCTGGTTGAACATCCAATAGCACCTGATTTAAGTCCTTTATATTTCAAAGACTAATAGCCATTTTATCTGTAGTTCATCTGTAGTTTATCTGTAGTTTGCAAATTGCTTTTACAGTGTAAAAAAATAGTTTGATTCCTTAAAAAAGGCATTAAAAATCAGTTTTACCTATTAGTGTAACAGATCCCTTCACATGATTTGTACATTCTTAATGTATGAGAGGACTTTTTAGTCTAATGCATGGTTAGCCATCTAGGTAGGAAGGGCTCATGTTGCATGTAGGTCATGCTAGTATTTATTTAGTATGCAGCATTAGAGAGCCGAAGGACCTGGCCATGACTCAAAGTGCAACAGCCGACAGTTGTTTTGAGCTCAGATTTGAGCCCCACCCATTCATGACACTGCAGCAGGCCAATGATGTTGTGGCCCCTCGGCACATTGAAGGCATGCGTGGAAGAGGTGGAGCCTACAGGCCCTGACAGGGTCAGAAAGACGGGGTAATCATAGAGCAGTGGTGCTCATTCTGAGTACTAACACTCATGCAATGGCTTTCTTTTGTTATTTCATTACCTCATTTATAAAGATATGTTTTTATATAATAATAAACATTGTGAAAGCCTTCTTGTTAAAATATGGGCTTTAGAAAATGATTACTTCCTTTTGAATTCTCAAAGAATGTTGTTTATTGCTGCAGATTTGGAAACATGTTCCTGAACTTCAAGAGGCTTGTTCATTTACTTCAAAAGTAAAATCATTTACTTCAAAAACAACATAACCGAATTGTGCAGATCTGCATTCATACTATTGTACAAAGACCCTGCAAGGATTTCAATGCGTTTGCATTTGCTCACAAAATTTTTGCATTTCCCTTTAAAACTTTGCATTCACTCACACAACTTTAGCAATCTCTCACAAATGTTTTGTGTTAACCCAAGAAAACTGTTGTGGACAAATGCAAAACTGGTGATGGAAATAATATATGATAAATGATTTGTGTGTTTGGGTCAAGGGCAGTGGTTTTAGCAGTGGGCTGTTTTGAGTCAGACTGGTGTATAATAAATGATTTTGTAAGTTTCTTGGGGTATACAAAACTTTTTTTGGTTACACTTTATTTTGATAGTCCACTTTAGACATTCTATTAACTATAAGTAACTTTGCAACTACATGTCAACAAAATTGTCTACTAACTCTCAGAGTAGACTTATTAGGTTAGGTTTAGGGTTAGTCAAATAAGTTGACATATACTTGCAAAAATTTGTATAGTCAGTATGTACATGGCCCATCAAAGTTAAGCAGACAGTCTACTAATATTCTAATGACTGCTAGTTGACATGTAGTTGCAAAGTTACTGTTAGTAGAATGTCTAAAGTGGACTATCAAAATAAAGTGTTACCCTTTTTTTGTAGTAAATGCAAAATATTTGCAAGAATTGAGTGCAAAAGGATTAAAATATTTTTTCCTGCATTTCTGTGTTGGTCTGTTCATTTCTAGGGAATACTTGTTTCAAAATGTCAGATGGCTAAATGAACTGTTTTGCCTCGGGTGATGAAATGGTGACACCTTTATTGGCATTTACAGTTAAAACCCAGAATGTGTTTGTGCAAGTTTTGATTAAAGGAAATCATCCTGTTACTGGTAATGTTTGATAAAAATACATTAAATTATCAAATGTCCTATATCCAATGAATTTTCTTTCCACAGATGAGAAACATCACAGAGACACTGATGAAGCCTTTAGAAAAGTTTCGGAAAGAGCATCTTGGCTCAGCAAAGGTAAAAGCATAGCTCTACCCGTCATCTCTCACATTTAGGATGTTTGCATTTAACAGATGGAAAACTGTACATTTATTGAAACCAAACTTGCTTCTCGTTCCATGTATTAAAAATAGTAAGTTCCTCCATTTCATATGTTCTCATGCTATCTTCAGGCAGAGAGAAAGAGGTACGAGAAGGAAACAGAGAAGTACTACAGCTCACTAGAGAAACTTTTGAACATGTCAGCAAAGAAGAAAGAGCCACAATTACAGGAGGTACTTCACATTTCATTCTTCCCACACACAAGATGGATGAGTAATGCAAACTATTTTCAGAAATGGTCATTTCCTTCTGTATCTGACGATTTATACGTTAAGGTCAATGGTTTGCCGTATTCTTTACAATAATGTTTATTGTATTGTATATTAAAGTCTGTTGTTATTTCTACCAGATTTATAAAGCCAGACATTTCACCCAAGTCCTCTCTAAGCCTGGGAAAGTGAAAGAGTGCAGTGTATTATCCTGCTTAAATCTTGATCCAGTGATGTGGGGGGAACATAACCTTTTATGGCATGCCCATCATGCCTGTATGTTGTATACACTGAGCATAAAAAGCACTAGAGTCTGTTGATATTTTTATGGTGGGCCATTCTTACTGCGGACCATATGTGACCCTGGACCACAAAACCAGTCATAAGGGTACATTTTTCGAAATTGAGATTTATACATCATCTGAAAGCTGAATAAATAAGCTTTCCATTGATGGATGATTTGTTAGGATAGGACAATATTTGGCCGAGATACAACTATTTGAATATCTGGAATCTGAGGGTGCAAAAAAAATAAAATATTGAGAAAATCGCCTTTAAAGTTGTCCAAATGAAGTTCTTAGCAATGCATATTACTAATCAAATATTAAGTTTTGATTTATTTACAGTAGGACTAAATATCTTCATGGAACATGATCTTTACTTAATGTCCTATTGATTTTTGGCAGAAAAGAAAAATCAATAAATTCGACCCATACGTATTTTTGGCTATTGCTACAAATATACCCCAGCGACTTAAGACTGGTTTTGTGGTCCAGGGTCACATATGACGTGTAAACATGTTCCTGAACTTCAAGAGGCTTGTTCATTTACTTCAAAAGTAAAATCATTTACTTCAAAAACAACATAACCGAATTGTGCAGATCTGCATTCATACTATTGTACAAAGACCCTGCAAGGATTTCAATGCGTTTGCATTTGCTCACAAAATTTTTGCATTTCCCTTTAAAACTTTGCATTCACTCACACAACTTTAGCAATCTCTCACAAATGTTTTGTGTTAACCCAAGAAAACTGTTGTGGACAAATGCAAAACTGGTGATGGAAATAATATATGATAAATGATTTGTGTGTTTGGGTCAAGGGCAGTGGTTTTAGCAGTGGGCTGTTTTGAGTCAGACTGGTGTATAATAAATGATTTTGTAAGTTTCTTGGGGTATACAAAACTTTTTTTGGTTACACTTTATTTTGATAGTCCACTTTAGACATTCTATTAACTATAAGTAACTTTGCAACTACATGTCAACAAAATTGTCTACTAACTCTCAGAGTAGACTTATTAGGTTAGGTTTAGGGTTAGTCAAATAAGTTGACATATACTTGCAAAAATTTGTATAGTCAGTATGTACATGGCCCATCAAAGTTAAGCAGACAGTCTACTAATATTCTAATGACTGCTAGTTGACATGTAGTTGCAAAGTTACTGTTAGTAGAATGTCTAAAGTGGACTATCAAAATAAAGTGTTACCCTTTTTTTGTAGTAAATGCAAAATATTTGCAAGAATTGAGTGCAAAAGGATTAAAATATTTTTTCCTGCATTTCTGTGTTGGTCTGTTCATTTCTAGGGAATACTTGTTTCAAAATGTCAGATGGCTAAATGAACTGTTTTGCCTCGGGTGATGAAATGGTGACACCTTTATTGGCATTTACAGTTAAAACCCAGAATGTGTTTGTGCAAGTTTTGATTAAAGGAAATCATCCTGTTACTGGTAATGTTTGATAAAAATACATTAAATTATCAAATGTCCTATATCCAATGAATTTTCTTTCCACAGATGAGAAACATCACAGAGACACTGATGAAGCCTTTAGAAAAGTTTCGGAAAGAGCATCTTGGCTCAGCAAAGGTAAAAGCATAGCTCTACCCGTCATCTCTCACATTTAGGATGTTTGCATTTAACAGATGGAAAACTGTACATTTATTGAAACCAAACTTGCTTCTCGTTCCATGTATTAAAAATAGTAAGTTCCTCCATTTCATATGTTCTCATGCTATCTTCAGGCAGAGAGAAAGAGGTACGAGAAGGAAACAGAGAAGTACTACAGCTCACTAGAGAAACTTTTGAACATGTCAGCAAAGAAGAAAGAGCCACAATTACAGGAGGTACTTCACATTTCATTCTTCCCACACACAAGATGGATGAGTAATGCAAACTATTTTCAGAAATGGTCATTTCCTTCTGTATCTGACGATTTATACGTTAAGGTCAATGGTTTGCCGTATTCTTTACAATAATGTTTATTGTATTGTATATTAAAGTCTGTTGTTATTTCTACCAGATTTATAAAGCCAGACATTTCACCCAAGTCCTCTCTAAGCCTGGGAAAGTGAAAGAGTGCAGTGTATTATCCTGCTTAAATCTTGATCCAGTGATGTGGGGGGAACATAACCTTTTATGGCATGCCCATCATGCCTGTATGTTGTATACACTGAGCATAAAAAGCACTAGAGTCTGTTGATATTTTTATGGTGGGCCATTCTTACTGCGGACCATATGTGACCCTGGACCACAAAACCAGTCATAAGGGTACATTTTTCGAAATTGAGATTTATACATCATCTGAAAGCTGAATAAATAAGCTTTCCATTGATGGATGATTTGTTAGGATAGGACAATATTTGGCCGAGATACAACTATTTGAATATCTGGAATCTGAGGGTGCAAAAAAAATAAAATATTGAGAAAATCGCCTTTAAAGTTGTCCAAATGAAGTTCTTAGCAATGCATATTACTAATCAAAAATTAAGTTTTGATATATTTACAGTAGGACTAAATATCTTCATGGAACATGATCTTTACTTAATGTCCTATTGATTTTTGGCAGAAAAGAAAAATCAATAAATTCGACCCATACGTATTTTTGGCTATTGCTACAAATATACCCCAGCGACTTAAGACTGGTTTTGTGGTCCAGGGTCACATATGACGTGTGTTTGGGTCAAGGGCAGTGGTTTTAGCATTGGGCTATTTTGAGTCAGACTGGTGTGCATGATTCCTAGAAATGTTGAAGAACACCAGGGACTACTCAGTTATTCGCTAATTCATAAGACACTTAAGTTATCATGGGCCATGTTCACATGTCACTGCAGCCAAATACGTTGAGGGATGAGTGTTTTGTTTATGCTGTCTCTCTCCACAATAGTCTCTCCCACCTGTTCTACATGTGCACTCCAGAAAAGGCACACTGTTTAATGCATGAGCTAAATGATAATAAAAAAACATGAGCTTAATGATAATAAACAAAAAAATAAATAAAAATCTGATGATTATATCTCCATCAAGTAATGTTATATTAGGAACTAGCTAATGTTACAAACACCATTTGGGTTACACTGTTGGCATATATTTCTCTTGTTTACAAGAAACTGTGGTTATCAGGATGTCAGCTGCATAAATTTGAGTTATTCCTGTATTCCATACGCACCAAAACGCTTAACACGCACAGAACAACAGCTTTAGGAATTCATTCTCACATTGAAATGTTTAATTTAAATTCAAGTATTTTTTTGTAAAGCTGTGAGATTTTATGATGGAGATCACCAAGGAATGTTGCCAAGAGATGTCAATGTGATATACTGTATTTAACTGTATTTGCACACCTAATGTTCCCTCTACATTTTTTTTCTTGCTGAGCAAAACTTTTCTCTATTGGGCGGACATTTCGGCCACCTGAGCAAAAACAAACATTTCGGCCACACTGCCATTCAAAAGTTTGGGATCAATAATGTTTATTAAAGAAGTTTCTTATGCTCATCAAGGCTGTATCTATTAGATAAAAATACTGAATATTATTTCACAAAATAATATTGTGAAATATTATTGCAATTTAAAATAAAGGTTTTCTATTTTAATATACTTTAAAATATAATATATTCCTATGAAGCAAAGCTGTATTTTCAGCATCATTACTCCAGTCTTCAGTGTCATATGATCCTTCACAAATCATTATAATATGCTGATTTATAATAAATGTTGGAAACAGTTGTGCTGCTTAATATTCTTTTGGGACCTGTGATATTTTTTCAGGATTCTTTGATAAATAAAAAGTTAAAAAGAACAGTGTTTATTCAAAATGAATAGAATAGAAAACAAACTGAAGCATTTAAACTGAGATCTGTAAGTTAAATATTTAAAAAAAACGTGAACGTGAATTCTTCTATAGCTATCTAAACATCCCTATGAACAGTGGCGGCTCGTCTGGGGAGGCACAGGCACAGCACAGCTTCCCCATAATTTTGAGGTGAAAATGGGGAGGACGATTTAATGTTAATAAAATTCACAATTCATTTCAGTTCATGTCTCAGAATGTGTATTTTTTGTTTGTAGTTTATACAAAATAGAAATTTTGTGTTACAATATACACTACTATTCAAAAGTCGGTAATTTTTTTCTTTTTTTTAAGAAATTAATACTTTTATTCAGCAAGAATGTGTTAAATGGATAAAAAG